GCATTTTATTAAAAAAATAAAATAATTGTAAAAACTTAAAACCATGATTTCAAGCCATAATTTAGAAATGAGTCTTACATCCTAGGAGATACGTGGGATTATAATGATTCAATAAGATAATAATCGAAATAAACTAATCTATCAATAAACCCATATAAAAGAATCTGAATATTTTGTTGATTTGTTCATGTAAGGAATAGCCGATTATCAAAAAGAAATAACCATTAGGGATCTGATTAGAATAATTTGGTAGCAATATTTGCAGCTTAAAAAAGAAAATCATCATCTTTAATCTAATCATAATAATTTCGAAACAGAAACAATTAAGTTTATGAATCTTGAAATAAAAAGACTTCAGTAAAAATTAGTTCAACTTTAGCACAGCTTTGATTAGGTAGTTAATTTCCAAATTAATGCAGAGAATGGACAGTTAAATGACGTCCTAAGAAATAAACTTTAATTATAATAAATTTATAATCATAATGGAGCTCAGCTGCAACTACAAGATCATTAAATCAAAGTTAGCTAGTTGGAAGAGTAATTAAAGTTATAATAGCTAAGATTTCAAGAAATGGAACAATAATACAGATTGTAAATATAAGAAATGAGTCTGTAACTGTAGCAGTTATTATAAAAAAATATGAATTCTAGCTAGGATACTAACTTATACCAAAATGACTCAGATTAACAAGTAAGAGTTAATAATAAGGACGATAAATAAAGAATCTATGAAGATTAATTAAGACTATTTAATGAAAAACTTCATCAAATTTCGCAGACAAATTAATACCTGAATAAAAAGCTACAAAGCTAGGTTGAATAGCTTTAATTTTAAAATGATTAACTCCTTGATGAGATTCATAAATTAAAGTAAAAAAGCAGATAAAAAAGAAATTATCCTAATAAAGATGCTAATTAAACTCGCTCAAAGGATGTTAATTAATTCAGGTTAAAAGAAAATGTGGAATTAAAACACAACAATAGTATGATTAATTCTGTTGACCCTTATCACGAGTTAGAAAGAAAAATAAGTTTGAAATGTAGATAAAATTCAGTTTAGTTTTAGAACGAATCTAATTTGAAGAATCATAATCTTTCTTAAACTCTTGGAACTTTTTCCTCAAATAACTAATCGAGCTAATCTAATAAATATATTAAGCCTCTAAATTTTCAAACACCCTAGAAAGCTTCTTCGAAGTCACATCATAATAGTTGCCTAGTCTCTAATGAGAAGTCAAATTCACTCACAAGACCTATTTTTTATTTAGACTTCTCTAGACTCCAAGAACTCAATCAAACTACTTAAACATAGAAAAAGCCCTTCTCAATTGATAATTATCCTTTAGAAATTAAGAATGCAGATAAAACCTAAAACAGAACTTCCAAACTAAATTAAAGATACAATTAGGATGATTATGAAGATGAAGATGATAAGGTCTCAGAAAAATTCTTTGACGCTCTTAACACCACATAAATATGCATTGAAGATAAAATTTAAAGTTTTCTTATAGGTTAAAAACATGACTCTGAATTAAGAAATCTAGCATAAAAGCAAAGCCAAAATCAAAGATAATCACTCTTAAACATTACTAATTACAAAGGTATATCTTAGAATATTTATGAAGATATAATACCTTCTAAAAATCCATTTTCACGACAGTAGAATCACTGTAGAAATAATAGTATTTTATGAAAAGAGTGACTCAAATTCTCAATACTTTAAAATCATAAATTAATTTCCTTAACAAGTGTAAAAAATAATCAGTTTGCCCTTTGGGGTTTTGGGGTTTTGGGGTTTTGGGG